GCGCTGCTCCGCTGGGGGCCCGTGTGCTGGCTCCCGGCCGCTCCGTCCACGTCTCGGCGGGGGGACTCAGACTGTGACGTCCCCCGAACCCCCGATCTGTAGCTGACAGCCTCCCCAGGCGAGGGGACAAGTCGAGAAATGGAGGCGGCGCACGTGCCCTGACTCACTCTCCTCGACCCCGCCCCCGTGCCCTCCCCCGGGGACCCTCTCCCACGGTGCTCTCCTCCTCCCCCCAGAGCGTAACCTGAATCCCAAAGCCGCCTGCCTGAAGCGCCGAGAAGAGGAGAAGGTGTCTGGCGTGGTCGGAGACCCCCAGATGGTGCTTTCGGCCGCCCACCCAGGCCTGAGCGAGGCCCACAACCCGGCCGGGCACATGTGAAGGGGCCGCCGCCGAGGGACGAGTGCCCGACCTCGGTCCAGCCCGGGACGGTCCCGCCGGGCGCCCGGTCTCCATCCCCGACGTGGGCCGGACGGTCCGCTCACACGCCCGTGGGCAGCGTCGAGCCGACAGCGACCGGGAAGGCTGCGCGCGCCGGGGCTCTGGAGGTGACGCCGGCCCGGGAGCCTGTCCCCTCGGCCGTGCCCACCCCCAGGTCTCGGCCGGGAGTCGCCTGAGGGATCCTGAAACTCCGTCCCGGCCCTGCCTCCCAGGACGGGCCGAGAGGAACATTTTTTTTGTAAACAAAACCGGAAAGCAAGCAAGAAATACACACTTGGTCGGAAAAGAGAAAAAATGCCTTAAGTAGGAAACGTGGCAGAGTCAGAACATATCACCCCCCGAGGGAGATGCTGTGCGAACCTGGCTTGTTCTTCTGAAGCCACCAGCAAATTGTGCCTACGCCTGATATTTTTTTTAAGGAAAATAAAAAGAACATTAGTTATGAGATTTTTTTTTTTTTTAATGTAGAAGATAATTAGCGAGGATGCCACCTTTGGTCTCTTGGTTTTTTGTTTTTTTCTAGCTTCTTTTGCATATGTTTTGTAAGCAACAAATTTTTTTGTATAAAAGTCTCGTGTCTCTTGCTGTTTCTGCTGCTGTTTCTAGAACTGAGCGTTGCATTTCATGATCAACCAGATTATTAAAAGTTGTATTAAAAAGACCCAATGGACACCTGAGGTGCCCGACCCCCACCCCGGGAGCCACTGGACACAGGACAGGGACAGCCGGTGTCAGCTCCCCGCTGGGTTTTAGGTGTGGGGTCCATTTCCCTGCTTCGGCTAGGTGTCCAGTGGTGGGTGGGCCTCTCCCTGCTGGGGCCCTTCCCTGTCCCGTGCTCTCCCCTCTATTAAGAAGGGGAGCACCCTGGCCTCGGGGGGGTGGCGTCTGTTGCGAGCCGGGGACCCCCCCGGGTGACACTGCCAATGACCCTCATTCTCTGGAAGCAGCTCTGGGACCCCAGGCCCCTCCCCACGTCCCTCCCAGGGACCCCCAGGCTGCTCTCAGAGCCCCCAGAGGTCTCCAACGTGGGGGATTTCATTGGGACCACATTCCTGGGCTTGGGGACCACACTGCTGGAGCACGGTGCGGGGGGCCCTCCCTGGACACCCTGTCCTTCAGTCCTTTGACCCCGGGACCCGAGCCGGTTCTCTGAACTCTGGTGGCGGGGCTGCAGCTCACGGCCTGCACAGAACCACCCCAACCCCGCACCAAGTGGCTGTCCTGGTGTGGACAGAGCAGGAAGTTACAGGGCCCCCCCACACACACACACAACGCAAGGCCCCCGGGCTGTGCACCTGCCCACCTTAACCTGGGCCCAGCTCCTGGGCCTCCCCAAGTCCCTCCTCTGGTCTCACATGTCATCAGGGGACCAAGTCGTCCCAGCTTTAAAACGGAAAGTCTAGCCTCCCTGTGGCCCCAGGGAAACCTGGGGTCATCCTGCATGTCACCCCAGTGTGGGCTCTCGGCTTCCTTCCCTTTACTCCTCCATTCCTCTATGAGAGGCCTTACAGACCCCCCAGGCTGGCTGCACTCACCCCACACTACCACCATCCCTGGTGTCTCCCCCCAGGACCCCCACCCTCACTCCCCAAGCCCCGGGGCTGCCTGACCCCCAGTGACTGGAATGCCCCGAGGCTGGGGAGCTCGAGGGCACCCCGAGGCCAGCACAGGTGGGCCATCCGGCCTTGGGGCCGGGGCCACCTCCTCACCCTGAGCTCACCGGTCCTCCCCAGGGGTCTGCCCCCCTAGACCAGTCACGGGACAGCGAGGAGCCATTGGCTTTCGGGGAACGGTCCTTGGTGACCCCCTGCTCTGGGTGGGTTTCATCTCTCTGGGGGAACCTGCCTCAGTTTCCCTGTTACTCTGCTGGTCCCGCCAGGAAGTCCGGATGGGCAGAGGCCGGGCTGCGCCCCACGAGGCCGCCGACTTGAGCTGTGTATCGTAGACGTCGCTGAATTATATTTATAAAGAGATTAATCCAGCCCTGAGGTGGGGAGGGGCCCCAGTTACGGGGAGATTGTGCTCTGAGTGCCTCAAGATAACTGGTTTTCAAAAAAAAAACATTCTTTTTTAAAGAAAGATAATTTTACACGAGTGTCTGCAGAGCTGGCTGGATCCCCTGGGATTTTTAACCGACCCCCCCCCCTTAAAGCCATATACACAGCCCTGCAGCAATATGTGACAGTTTATGATGGTCCTCGGCCGGCCCTGGGTCTCTCAGCTGCTGCTGAACGAGGGGGCGTCAGGAAGGTGGTGCCCCGAACTCGGGGTCCCCGCCGTCCTCGTACTCCCGCTGAAGATAGCCCTGGGGTACATGGCCCGTCAGTGTGTCCCCCCGGGAGGCCATGAACGAAGCTCACACACTGGGCGGCTTAGAACCACAGAGATTCACTCCCAGTCTGGAGCCCGGGTGCCCCAGACCACGGTGGGCAGGCCTGCGCTCCAGCCGGGGCTCCAGGGGAGGGTCCTTCCTGCCCCCTCCAGACTGGGGGCTCCGGCATCCCTGGGCGTGCAGCCACATCACCCCAGTCTCTGCCTCCGTCTCCACGCGGCCGTCTCTCTCCCCATGTGTCTGTGTCCAGATGTCCCTCTTCCTGTAGGGACCCCCCGTCACTGCACCACGGCCACCCACTCCAGGACGACCTCACCTTAACTAATGGCACCTACAGAGACCCTGTTCCCAAATAAGGTCCCATTCCCAGGTCCCGGGAGTCTGAACTTGAATGTGTCTTTTGGGGACACAGCTCAGCCCATCACAGTGGACAGTGGTGAGCAAGGCCACAGAGCGACTGGGAAAGGTGCCCCCGGCCATTCCCGTCCCAGGACCAACCCTCCAGGGGCGACGAGAGCTCCCAGAGAGAAGCTGCTCCCAGAGATGCTGCCGATTCGTGTTAATTAAATACGTAATACACCAGAATCACTGACGTCCCCACATTCAGTGGGTGAATTGTATGGTAAGTGAATTACGTCTCAATAAAGGTGTTTAGGGGCTGGCCCGTGGCTTAGCGGTTAAGTGCGCGCACTCCGCTGCTGGCGGCCCGGGTTTGGATCCCAGGCGCACACGGACGCACCGCTTCTCCGGCCATGCTGAGGCCGCGTCCCACATACAGCAACTAGAAGGATGTGCAGCTATGACATACAACTATCTACTGGGGCTTTGGGGGAAAAAAAGGAGGAGGATTGGCAATAGATGTTAGCTCAGAGCCGGTCTTCCTCAGCAAAAAGGGGAGGATTAGCACGGATGTTAGCTCAGGGCTGATCCTCCTCACACACACAAAATAAATAAATAAATAAAGTTGTTTAAAAATATATCTTAAAGGTGCCAAAATCCTCAGTAAGGCATCACCTCTGTCCCAGCAAGGGCTGGCTCCGCAGAAATTTCTGGAAGGAGCGTCTGCTTGACTCAGAGAAATCCAGGGGGCAGGGAAGGGGCACAGGGAGACAGGTCCAAGTCTTGGCATCAGCGATGGTGTCGTGGGTGTGCTCGTGTGTTCTGCCTCTCCACGTGTGCGGCTCATGGGGTGTGCGTGTGTCACACACCTTCGCCTGGCCTGACCGAGAACCCACTGAGCCTGGCCTCCCGCAGCAGCCCTGTCACCCGAGGGCCAGGCAGGGAAGGGACATGCTGGACTAGCATGGGGACAGGCCCCTTCTCCGGTGGTCGTCCTCTGAGACGACGCTGTGCTGCGGAGGGTGATGGCGGCCCCCAAAGAGATGCCCACGTCCTGCCCCAGACCTTACTTGGAAAAAGGGCCTTTGCAGACATGATCAAGGTAACGTTCTGCAGACGAGCTCATCCTGGATTTAGGGTGGACCCCAAATCAACGACAGTGTCCTCATGAGAGACAGAAGAGGAGAGACAGACGCAGCAGAGGCCACGTGGAGACGGAGGCAGAGGCTGCAGGGATGTGGCCACAACCCAGGGATGCTGGGGCCCCCAGAGGCCGGGAGAGGCAGGAAGGACCCTCGCCTGGTCCCCTGGAGCCTCCCCCGGGCCCTGCCACACCTTCCTCTCAGACTCTGGCTCCAGAACTGGGAGAGGATAAATTCCCATTGCTCTAAGCCACAGTGTGGGGTAACTTGTCACGGCCACCCTGGGAAACAGACAGCGTGTGTGTCCCTTATAACCAGCACCAGGAGCCGTCACCTGTTGCTGGCGGGACCATCAACGGGCACCGCTCCCCTGCAGAGGAGTCCGGCGGTACCCCGGAAACGACCGGATGGCCTGTGTCACTTACACCCCGGCGAACACAAGGAGTTTGGCGGCTTCTTCTACAAGCATCCGCCTCCCTGCGAGCCCAGAGGGCCCTCCTCCAACACCCACCCTGGAGAAAGGAAGACACGTCCGCACGAGACCAGGACATGGCTGCTCGGCACAGCTGCACGTAACCCAGAGGTGCTTCCCCAGGAGAGTGCGCGGACTCAGGTGCACCTGATGATTCTCGGAATAATCATGCTGCGTGCAAGAAGCCAGACACCAAGACAACACACTGTGTGATTCCCTTCATAGAAAAGTCTAGAAGAGGCAGATTAGTTGATGGTAGCAGAGAGCAGATGAGTGGCTGCAGGGACGGCGGCCGGCGGAAACTTCTAGAGGGCAGGGGGAGGAGTTTGTCATCTCGACTGTGGTGATGCTTTCACGGGCGGGGACCTATGTGCAAATGTTAAGTTGTATGTTTTAAATATGTGCATTTTTCTATGTCAAACCTCAATACAATTGTACATCAGTGGGTGAACGGATCCACACAGCACGTCCATCCACACACTGGAATATGACGCGGCCATGAAGAGGAGTGAAGCCCTGACACAGCCACACCGTGGACGGACCCTGAACACACGATGCTCAGTGAGAGAACCAGACACAGAAGGACACACGGTGTGTGATCCCATTGATGTGAAATGTCCAGAACAGGCACATCCACAGACAGGAAGTGGGTTCGTGGTTGTCAGGGGCTGGGGAGGGGGATGGGGGTGACTGCTAATGGGGACGCAGTTTCTTTTTGGAGAGATGGAATGTCCTGGAACTAGATAGTGGTGATGGTTGCACAACCTTGTGAATGCACTAAATGCCAGTGAACTGTACACTTTAAAATGGTTAATTGCATGTTATTTGAATTTCTCATCGATAAAAACAAGAAAAGGAACTGTTTTCCCCTGAGGGCCAGAAGGGAACCCCACAGGGAACCCCTGGGCCGAGGGCAGCGGGCTGTGAGGGAGGCCGGCAGTTCCTGCTTATCCACTCTGCTGCTCACAGAATCCTGGTTATTCTTTCGAGGATCTGCCCCTCCCCCAATTTCAGCCCATGTCCTCATACGAGAGGGGCTGACTCTGCCCCCTTCCCACAGCAGTCTGACGAGAACCAGCCTTGAGGCATTTTCTGATTATTGAGCAAGAGATGCCAGCTTCCTGCAAGGGCTGCTGGAATGTCAATCCCGAGTCTCCAGCTGCTGCTGCTCAGAGAGTGAGGGTGACACAGACGAAAGAAGAACCGAGAGATGGAGAGAGAGAGATTCGTAATGACAGCCTTCAACTCCTGGATCCAGCTGTGCCTGAAGCCATCCAACATGCCGTAAAACTTCCTTCTTTTCTCTTAAGCTGGCTTTTGTTGTTTATCACTTGAAACAAAAGCACTCTGCCTGGTGAGCTGAAGTACACTAGCAGGAGGAGCAACGAGGCAGGGCTTCAGGAACTGCTGGATCCAGGACCCGCACCCCCATGGCCTCTATGCCCATTTCTGCTCATCTTTTCAGGCAGCTTTATCCTCTGTCTCTCTCTTCTCTCTCAACAATCTTCATGAGGGCCCTGACATCCACTTTCTGAGTTGCCATCAAGGACAGAGGCTTATTCAGGTCTTCGGATCCCAAGCTCAGAAACCCTACAGCAATTGGAAAGGCCGAGAAGCAAGATCCAACCCAACGGCAGTGCGCATCCCTGGTGCCCAGACTGTGGTCTCGAAATCCTATTTCTGGCACCCACCCCAGTCCGTGGCCTGGAGCAGGGGCAGGGCGCACCCTGCAGCCCCCCGAGAACTGAGCGTGGAGGGCGCTGAGGAGCGGATCCCAGGAGGACGAACCCACGGTGACTGGTCCTTACCTCCAGGCCCCAGGGGCGGCGTCTGGAGAGGCCGAGCCGAGGACCGCCCGGCCCGGAGGCCCATCGGCGGACAGGGAGGAGGCCGAGACGCTCACGGGCGGGGAGCCTGCCTCCCCCTGCCGCCAGAACGAGGAGCCAGCGAGCTCTCCACCGAAAACCTGCAAAGAAAAATCCGACAGGACCTCCAGGCGGCAGACCACTCAGGATGAGCCGGCCGAGGCCCGGGGAAGCGCTGCCATTCGGCCAGGGTCCCGCTGACAGCGAGTCAGTGACAACCCCTGACTCCTCCAAGAGGGGGTTCAAATCGCACCCCTCCCCTCTGCGCGACTGTGGAGAGGCCCTTCGCCGTGTGGCCTGTTTCCTTCATTGTGAATAACGTTCTGGCACGTAGTAAGAACACAAAGTCACCAGCCGAAGGTTGCGGGCCGTACTTAGTCACCAGGGGCTGTGCAGCTGGGGGCCACTCAGACCGTCCGAGCGAGGGGACAACCACCATCCCCGGGTCACCTGGGCACAAAGCCCCGCCTTCCGTACCCGCCCACTCCCGCCCGCGCCCGCCCGCGCCTATTATCGTCTTCCGACCCTCCCCGGAGGTGACTACGAATGTCTTCCGGGTCTGCGCGCGCAGCGGCGGCGGGGGCCGGGCGGCGTCCGGTCAGCCCTCCCGGGGCGGGGCGGGGCGAGGCGAGGATGGGCGGGGGCCTCTCTGCGCGCCTGCGCGCTGCTGCGGCCGCGCCTGCGCAGTGCGTCTGGGCCAGGCGGGGCCGGGGTCACCCTGAGCTGGGGACGGCGCCGCGATGCTGAGCAGGTTCCTGGGTCCGCGCTACCGCCAGCTGGCCTCGAACTGGTGAGGACGCCCCCCTCGGTCGTTCCGGGTCACAGATGGGGAAACTGAGGCACAGAGGGGCGGAGCGGTCCATCCCGGGCACACGTGCGTGGCGGGACCCCCGGCCCCGTGGCCAGCAGCTCTGAGCCTCAGTTTCCCCATCTCTCCCTGGGGCCGCGGTGGTGCCCACCTGCTGGACGGACACGCCTGGCACCCTCGGCTCAGCCCTTGGGGCCTGACCACGGAACCTGCACGTTCCCGGCTTTGCTTTTGCTTTTATGATGTTGAACGAGGAGCGTGACCCCGACGGCCGCACCTGTCGCTGCCCCCAGTGGGAGGAGGGCGGGACCGGGGTGACCCACGTGGCAGCCAGGGATGGGGTGACCTCGGCAGCGGGTTGTCCGGTGCCCACCACCTTGGGCGCTGAGAAACAGGGGCGACCCTTGGCAGTCGCGTCCTCGAGCTCAGACAGGGAGCGGCTGGGGGGTGGGCGCTGCCGCTGGACAGTGGCGCTGGCGGGGACCCTCAGGTGGACACTGACGGTGGCACCTTTCAGCTGGGTGACCCAGGCCCAGGACGGTGGAGGCCAGCCCTGGCATCAGAGGAGAACCGCCGGCGGCCCATGCTGCCCCTCCCGCCATCAGCTCGGAATTCCTGGGGGCAGTGGGTCCGGTCCTATCGGTGCTCAGTTAGGGCAGGGACGCCCCCGTCCGGGCCTGCATTCGGTCAGCAGGCTCTTACCGAGCACCCACGATGTGCCAGCACCCCGCACCGTGTTGGGCGCCAGAGACTCGGTGATAAACCGAACGCTCCTGGCTGACGTTCTAGTCAGTGGAGGAGAAAAAGTGAACAGATGAGATCTAGGATATGAGGCTGACCAAAAATGATAATAAGGGAGGGGCACAGAGAACTGAGGGAGGGGTGTGCGGTGCTGCCCCACCAGCCTCTGGAGGCCAGGAAGCAGGACTCATCCCCAGGAGGCACTGTGGGGTTGTGGCTCAGACTCAGCTCTCAGAACGTCCATGGTCGCAGCCGGGACCCTGCCCGTCAGCCCTCCCTGAGCCCTGGTGTCCTCGTCTGAGAAAGAGGAGAAGAGGTTGTGAGGGGGTGACGAGAAGTCCCACGAGGGCTTGTCAGCGTGATCATCTTTACGTCCTTCCTGGATCCCTGTGGAAGTCAGGTCCACAGGGCCCCAGGTGGAGTGACCAGGACGATGGGGGAGGCAGAGGCCTCCCCCAGGGAAGGTTCCTCTGGCATTAGCAACCCTCAAAGCTGTGGAGCTATGGCAGGAAAGATTCCCTCTCTGTTCATCACCTCTGCCCCAGAGCCTGTTCCAAAAGCAGCAGCCATCAGTGACCCCACCGAGGCCCCAAGTTGAGTTGTGTGGGCTGAGACGCAGGGAGCAGGCCCGGCCCACACTTGGGGGGTTGTCACTGGTGAGGCCAGTTGGGGGAGGGTGAGGAGGGCTCGTATGTCCTGTGGAAACAGAAGCCTTCCACCTCTTCAGCCCACGAGCAACCCCCCTCCAGCATCCCAGGCACATGGTTTATGATGATCCGGCGAGGTGGGCACATGGGTTCAAATCCTGGCCCTCCACAGGCCAGCATGGGACCTGTGATAGTTATTTATCGCTGCATAACCAATGGCCTCCCCAAATTTAGCAGCTTAACCAACACTCATAATGTCACCGTTTCTGTGGGTCAGAAAAGTGGGCGGCTTAGCTGGATCCTCTGCTCTGGGTCTCCTGGGGCTGCAGTCTCATCCGAAGGCTCGGCTGGGGATCTGTTTCCAGGCTCGTGCTCATGGTTGTTGGCTGGCGTCTGACCTCACTTCTCTGCCACATGGGCCCCTCTATAGGTGGCTCATGATGTAGCAGCTGGCTTCCCCAGAGGGAGTAAGAGTGAGCACACCCGGGATGGAAGCTCGTCTCGAAAGTGACTCCCGTCGCCTCTCTGTGTTTTATTCATTAGAGGCCAGTGACTGGGTCCTGCCTACACTCAAGGGGAGGGATTGTACGAGGGCGTGAACCTCAGGAGGCGGGATTGTTGGGGCCATTCTGGCCCCTGCCCATCGCAGGACATAAACATGGCATGCGGTGGACTCGGAGCCCCTGCCTCGGCTCTGCACCTCGCCGGCTGTGTGTCCTCAGGGGAGTGAGTCGCCCTCTCTGTGCCTTGGTCTCCTCATCTGTAAGACAGGGACCCTGATTTTTGTGCCGTCAGTCCTACAACTGTCGCAGGGATCAACAAGTCGCTGTAAACGGCGTAGACAGTACTTGCATGCAGACATTAGCTGTCGTTCTGGTGGTTACAAGCTTGGGGTTTTTTCTTTTTTTAGCAGCAGAATTTCTCAAATAAAACCTTAAGCGGATGCTGATATGAAAGCAGATGGGAGTGGAGTCCCCTCAGGGTCTCCTGGCTCATGCTTGCCCTGTGGGGTCATCAGCGGGATGTGTCCACACTCTGGGCTGGGGCCGGGCTCATGGCAGGTGCTTGATAAATGGTGACTTGGGATGGGGGGACCCAGATGTGCTACTGGGAGGATGAAGCCTGACCCCTGCCGTGCTCTTGCAGGATTCCCACGGTGAGCATGTGGGGCGCCGTGGGCACCGTGGGGCTGGTGTGGGCCACTGACTGGCGGCTGATTCTGGACTGGGTGCCCTACATCAACGGCAAGTTTAAGAAGGACGATTAATTCCACTGACCCTCGGTGGAGCCCTCTGGTAAGCACTGGCAGCTGTTGGTCGGTAAGCCCTGGGATTTCCACGTGGCAGAGGAGTGGGCTTCCACAAGGCGGGCTGCCGCCGCTTCCAAGGCTGGGGCGGCAGGTCTCGGAGGCTCCCCTGGACCACTCACCCAGGAGAATCCATTGGCACAGAGCTGCCAGCTGGTAGCCTTGGTCTGTGGGCTGGGGAGTGGCCACTGCCCCCAGGTGCTCAATCCTGGAGGCTGTCCCTGCACCCTGCACTGTGCTTGCCATCTCAGTCTGCCCAGCCCTGGGAGGGACGGAGGGACGCCCCACTTTACAAGTGGGAAAGTTGAGACTGGCCCACAGCCACTGGCCGCCCTGGATGGGCTGCTGTGAGTGTTAATGACCCCTTGGACTCATCCTGTATGTCTCTGACATGCCCGTTGCTGTGCTGGCCACACTGCCTGTTACTAGCTGATTACCCACATGACGGTCTGGAGCGCTCACGCTGCTTACGCCCCCCTCCCGTTTCCAGATGGAGACCCAAGGCCCCAGGCCACGCAGCTCCTAAGGGGCACGGCTAGATTTGATTTTGGAGCCTGGCTGCAGCGTCTGTGTTCCTCCTGATGGCTCTTTCTTTGTCATAAGCATGGGAGCTGGGAGCCTTCTAGTCACTCTGCCTTGTTCCCCTCTAGGTATCTGGTGGTGCCAGCTCCTTCCATCTGCGTCTGGAACAACCCAAGCCCTCAGGATAGACTGCGAGGAAATCCACAGCGCGACTTAGGACTTGCTGTGTTTCTGGAAACAGCTCTGATGTTTGAATGCACACAGCATTAAACCTCGCTCTGAAACCTGCCCTGCCTGGATGTCGTCATGCTGGAGACTTGGTTACCTTGACTGCAGCCCCGGTGGCTCGGGTGACCTGGGGGTGCTTTCAGCTCCAAACTTTTGCAAATCTAGGAGTTTCCCAGTGGCTGTCAGAAATTGATTATTTAAGATGTTTAATGGGTAATACTGGCACAGTGTATTTTTTAGTCTGTCGCTACCTTAGCAAATTACCTCATGATTGAGTGGTTTAAAACAACATACATGCAGTATCTCAGTTTCTGTGGGTCAAGGATTTGGGAGTAACTTAACTGAGCGGTCCTGGCTCAGGGTCTCCCATGAGGCTGCAGTCAAGCTATAGTCCGGGGCTGCCTCATCTGAAGGCTCGACCGTGGCTGGAGGAGCCACTTCCCTGCTGGCTCCCTCTTGTGGCCGTTGGTGGAGGCCTCAGTTCCTCTCCACACAGGCTTCTCCACAGCACCGCCTGAGCCTCCTCACAACATGTTGGCTGGCTTCCCCAGAGTGAGTGATCCCAGAGAAAGCAAAGAGGAAGCCACAGCCCTTTTATGACCTACCCTCGGAAGTCTCGTGCCATCACTTCCTCCACATTCCATCGGTTAGGAGCAAGTCCCTAAGTCCCGCCCACACTCAAGGGGAGGAAGTTAGGCTCTGTGTTATGAAGGGAGGAATATCAGAACTTGTAGATGTGTTAACCTATCATGTGAGGGATAAAGAATGAGCAGGCACACAAGGGCATGTGGCACACAGTTCCCTTCCTGGTGTCCCAGCCCAGTTCTCTCCAATTCACCCAGTTCTTGAAAATTCTAGAGACGATCTATGCACATATAAGCATATTAGTCTGCTTGGCCCCCATAACAGTCCCACAGACCGGGTGGGTTACACAACAGGGAGGCTGGAAATCCAAGATCAAGGCACTGGCAGGGTCAGCTTCTGATGATGGCAGATGGCCACCTTGCTGTGTCCTCACGTGGCCTTTCCTTGTGAGAGCAAGGGAGCCCTCTGGTGCCTCTCAGAACTAATCCTGTGGGATCAGGGCCCCATCCTCTGACCTCATTTAACCTTCCTTACATCCTTAGAGGCCACAGGTCCAGACACAGGCACACTGGCAGTCAGGGCTTCAACAGATGAATTTGCACAGGGGGGAACACATACCTTCAGTCCATGACAGCTGCAGTTTAACACAAGTGGCTTCGCTACACACCTTTCTGTACATATTATTTCACCTAAAGTTTATCTCCCGGAGGCCACGCCACTTCAGAAAACATGAGTGTCCTCAGTTTCTAACTGGCTGCCTAGACCGACATTTATTAACTAGTCTGTCAGCAAGGGACTCATCCACTTCTTGTCATTTGCTATTACAGTAATGTCCGAGATGTTATTTCAGACATGAATGAATACACCTGTCAGATAAACACCTATGAGTGTTGAACTGGGAGACAAGCGAGTTACTCTTAAATCTGGCTAACAACTGCTGACTCCTGCTGGGTACAGACCCCGCAGCCCTGTACCGTAGTCTGAAGCACAGGAAAACATGCCCCTACGTACAAGTTTTTATGTATTTTTTGTAATGGTTCATGATTTTCATGAAAACATAGCTGAGTTTGCTTCCGTGAAAGCCAGGAAAGGAAAATTCTGATTCAGGTTTGGGTATAGCTGGAACCTAATTTAAGCTTCAACTATGGTGAGTTTTAACACAATTCCTTTTCAGTATTTTAATACTTTTTCAACCACTTTAATGTTCTGGGGGGAAAGTTAACCGTTAAAAAACGACATAAAAACACATATGAAGGGGCACGTGTTTCTCATTTTGTCTCGAGCTCCAAAATGGCTCAGCACAGCACAGTTCAATCCTGTCTTCATTCCAAGTTTTGACGTTCATTATGGGTTTTTTGCATTCATTTTGAATTGTTAAAATATTGCGTCAAATACCATTCACTTTGATGACTGAGGTTTTCGGCACCCCCTAAATTTTGCGCCCCAGGAGAGCAACTGGCTTGCCTCGTATTAGCTTGCAGGGACCCTTGGCAGTGTCTGGGGACATCTGTGGTTGTCACGGCTGGGGGTGCTCCTGGCATCAAGTGGGTGGGGGCCAGGGATGCTCCTCAACACCCCACAGCACCCAGGCCGGCTCCCCACAGAAAGTGACCTGGCCCCAATGTCAGCAGTGACGAGGGGAGACCCTGCCATTGAAAGTCTTTTAAAGGTTCCTCACATGACACCTTCTGGTTCAATCTCTATTTTTTTCCCTTGCAGACATGGGCAGGAGAGGGTGTCTGCTTGGGGATGGAGCCAGCCAGCTCTGGAAAGAGAGTTTATTTCAAAGGGACAAAGTGCAAGGCAGGCCCAGCTGAACAAGACAGGAGCCAGGCTGCCCCTGTCCCTCCCTCCTGGGGTTTCTGCCCACTGGCGTCTCGGGGTCATGTCCATCCTCCCAGTCAGGCCCCAGTGCCAGCTCACAGGGCCTCTGGACCAGCCCTTCAGGGGACAATCCTAGGGGCCCAGCTAGGGCCATGTGACACCCATGGGCCCACTGTCCATGCTCTGGGGTCAGCCAGGGCCCGAGGGGGTAAGATTGCTCTAGAAGCGAGTGAGGGCCAGCGGGGCTGGATTCCTGAGAAGGTCGGGCACCTACGGCTGGTCTTCGAGGGTTCTTGAGGTCCAAATCCTGTGATCCACCACCACACACCCATCGGGACGGTTACTATCACAAACAAAACCCAGAAAACAACCAGTGTTGGCGAGGATGTGGAGAAACCGCGACCCGTGTGCACTGCTGGTGGGAACGGGAAAGGAGGCAGCCGCTGGGGAACACAAGCCTGCGGTTCCTCAGAAGATCAAACATAGAATCACCACATGACCCAGCAATCCCCCTTCTGGGTGTACGCACAGAAGTGAAAGCAGGACCTGGGGTGGTCCCACGACCCCCAACACTGGGAGGTTAACACTTCTCCCTTTACACATCTTCACGTGGTCTCACTGGTCACAAGGAGCGCGTATATCTTTGTAACTCTAATTTTTAATTTAAGAGGTAACGTCGTACACATGGGAAGAACACCCACCCAGTGGTTGAGAGCATTGCCCGCCGCGGAAGGCCAGGGTCCTGAGGTCCTGGGTTCCAACCTGAACTGTGCAGACAGCAATCCAGTGCCCCAACCAGCTTTGTGACGTGGTGACCGCCCATTCAGGGTGCCCGCCTGGCCACTTACTGTGAGAGAGTAGCCCCTGGGGAACCCAGGAGGGAAGGGGACATAAGGAACTGTGAGAAGCTGCACTTACCTGAAGACTTTAAAATAAATAAACAAGTGACACCTGCCTGCCTGGGTCTTGGGTTTCCAGCCCAGGACCTGCCTCCAACCTGAGCGTGAATCACGGGGCCACAGGGCTGGGAAGACAACTGCAGAGGCGATCCAGGTGTAGACCACCCCTCTGCTTCCCTGCGTGGAGCCTGGGGCCTTCTCACTCGCATCCTCCCCCCTCGCCCCGCAACTAAAGCTAGGACAGACCCATCAGGAGGTCCAGCCTGCTCCTGGCACTGGCCACAGCTCTGTCCACTGATTCAGCAATCTTTTCTTAAGCACCTGCGCTGGGCCGGCCAGGCTCTGCCCTGGGGGGGGGGAGGGGGGACGCAAGCCCTGTCCTGGGAGCACAGAGGCGGGACCAGGCCCTGCCCTGGGGGGGGGGGGCGGGGATCAATTCAGCCCGGGGAGGGACTGAGGCGGAGTGGGGTGGGGAGCCACGTGGACCCTCTGGCTGGGGAGGGGACGGGATCGCGGGGGCAGGGCGACAAAAGTCGGGGCGGGAGATTCCATAGTAAGGTCCTGGACTCCCCAGGCGACAGATGGTGGCTGGATGCGGTGGAGGCGGGGGGAAGGGGGCGGACTCCCGGACTCCGAGGTGTTAGAGAAGCGCTGGGTGGGATTTGGAGTGTGGAGAGGGGTGGTCACCGACAATGCCCCCCGAGGCGGACGCCAGTGAAGAGTCTGGACGCTGGGAGACCAGAGAGGCGGAGGGATGGAAGACCGGCCTTGATGGGCATCCCGGGATTCAGGCGGGGACGTGGGAGCAGAACAGGAGAGCAAGACCCGCGGGCCCGACAGCGCCACAGCGACCAGGGAGCGCGGTCCCGACTCGGACCCCTCGCGTGGCCAGGGCGCAGGAGCGGGACAGGAGGATCCTCGCGCGGCCACAAGCCCCGCCCCTGTCCGCGCGCTGATTGGCGCCGCCGCCGCGGGGCGTGCCCTGCGCCGC